TGTTTGCCTTATATGATAGATCACCTAAAGTCATATAGAATCAATAAGCAGTCATAGATCATATCATTCGATACAATTCTCCGGAAAAAATGTGGAAGACAGGAATTTTAACTCGTCGAAATGTTGAGCGGAACACAAATATGACAGAAGCTCACAGTGCGTTAATACAAATTTTCTTTCAGTACGACCCTCTGAATGTGACAATATGCCTAAAAACGAATGGAAAAAATAGAAAACGTGAAATTTTTTGTCAACGGGGCAGTAAAAAAAGTAACGTTTAGTAAATTCGTAATCTACATATTGAGCGGAACACAATCATGACAAAAGCTTATAGTGCGTTAATACAAATTTTTTCAGTAGGGCCCTCTGAATTTGACACTACGCCTGAAAACGAATGGAAAAAATAGAAAACGGGTTTTTTTTCTTCAACGGTGTAGTTAACACAGTAAAGTTTATTATGTTCGTAATCTGCAGGTTGAGCCGAACGCAAACATGATAAAGGCTCATAGCACAATAATACAAATTTTTTTCAGTAGGGCACTCTGAAAGTCATACTATGTCTAAAAACGAATGGAAAAAATAGAAAGCGGGGTTTTTTTTCGTCAGAGGAATTGTGAACATTGTAAAGTTTATTATATTCGTGATCTACTGGTTGAGCTGAACACAAACGTGACAAAAGCTCATAGTACTATAATACAAATTTTTTTCAGTAGAGCCCTCTTAATGTGACACTATGTGAAAAAACGAATTCAATAAAATTGAAAACGGGCTTTTTTCGTCTGAGGGACAGCGAACATAGTCAGATATTTTGCAGTGGAAGTGTCTCACTTGCTAACGTGATCAATAACTAGATGTCTGTATACAACTATGACGAACAAATGAATTGTTGAATAAAATAAGTTATTATTATTGTTACCGTTCAGTTGATTTGTGAACGTCGTCTTATCGAAGAGTGAAATTATCGATGCTTTAATGATAATACTTTAATTTTCATGACAACATTATTGAAATGATAACATTATCAATGACAACAATACTCACATCAACAACAAGAATCTTTTCATACTCTGCGCGAAGAATGTTTCTATTTCAGTGCAAAAAATTGAGCATATTCATCGAAGTGTTCGTTGCTTTTGTATTGACGGAACACGTTCAAATACACAAACGCACATTATCTCACAATAACATAATAACACTATTACTTGTTACTTACACATCGAGCGGTTGTTTTGTTGATCGCTGTTAGCGATCGGCGCAATGTTTATTCTACTTGGCTACGTTTAATTGGGCAACGTATTCACGGCAACTAATTAAATACTCGGTTGTGCTCACTTGGCCTGCTCGCCTAGCCAGGGGGGTGGTGTCAATCAAGGCTAAAACAGTGCGAACGGAAACGCGAGCATTGTGGCCAGCAACGTTACAAACGTTTGATAGCCTGGCCAATCCTGGTAATCCTGGTAAAACACCACTCGATGGCCAAATATAAAAACATTTTTTTTGTCACGCATCTAGCCATTTACGCACCCAATTCGAAAACTGTTTCATGAAGTCTTTTCCGTTTATGAATGTATATCATTTCTCTTCAATCCCGTCACCTCAAAATTCCCTCAATTTTCGGTCCAGAAGACTTTTTGATGAAGATGTCGAGGTCTTTGAATTACAAATAGTTTATACCCTGCGGATTACGAACTCCAGCGGATATAATGTCTGCAGATTTCCGGAGATGTAGGAAAAGCAATCCATTCGAAGCACCAAGTCTATAGAAGGGGATGATTCCATGAAACACATCAGGAACATATCCATATATCGATGATGTGTATGTGTTTGTGTACAATTATTATACATAAGTTAGCACCAGTATTCATTTTGGCACGATCATATAATAATTACGGTTGACTACAAAGTGATATCGTTTCTTGATGAAAATTCACTGCTATCGTCATCATCTCCATTGCTGCTACGATGACAATCGACAGCATACTCTTTTGGGATCGTTATGGAAAACTGAAAACGAAACTGAACGCGACTCTTCTGAATAAGGTATAACAAATTTCTCCATTCATTGTTCTCACAACCAAACAATTGAGAGTATACATTCCGAACCTCACATCGTATATGGTAGTTTTTTTTCCTATAATAATTAATTGTGCTATTGCGAAATTGGAATATTCTACATTGGATTCGAACATGAGCATCTAAATTTACGGATTTTGGTAAGATTACGAGAATAGTTTTGAGAGTCAAACGAGTGATTTGAGTAAGTAGTGGAGTGATGAGGTGAGAAACTGAAGGCGGACTTGTTCATGCGTGCTCGTTTCGACGATTGTCGAGAGATGTTTCTTCAAATTCGGGTTCGGTGTTTCCGAGCCGGTATCACTTGTGGAATGACACTGAAAACAACATGTACTATCTCAAAATCACGATCCACTTCGATTAATCCAACGTATTCTAGGAAAGCAAAGTAACCACCAGTCGCTGCTTACCTGAACTATTAGAAACTGGTGAAATATTCCCAAATTTTCATCTCGAGATGGATTTCTAGAAATGTTTTTCTGAATAAGTTTGTGGGGAAAATGCAAGAAAAACGTGAGGAATATTTTTGGTTGCAGCAATATTTTGACACATCATAGCGATTAACTGTCAGTACAAGATTTTTTGTCCGCCTTTCGAAAGATCAAAACTGCAAACACACCGTCTCGCCGACATCAATACTCCTAGTGCGTTCATCATCTTCATCGATACCGTCCGCCACCCAGGCCATACCCTTCCAAACTTGATGCATTATATGAACGGCTGGAGCTAACATCGCCACAGTGGCCCTACTTTCTTGCCTGAATATAAGTGAGAGTCATTTTCAAGACTGCCTTTCAGGTCTACGCTCTTATGATGCAACGATAGAGCAACAGATGAGGCATGGGTTGGCCTAGCCGAGGATCAAAACTTGTAAATGTTCCTCATAATGATGATAATAATTGATACCAATATCAAAAGCAGTCATAATAAGTTATCATTTATAATCTAGAGAGAAGCATGCGCTATAATTGGATATGTCAGTAGTAGGTAACCTCAACGGTAATCGTGTTTCGTCGTTAGCAGCAACGCTTTGTGCTTGCATAGCGGCCATTCGTGACCTGAGACCATTCATCTTTGGACTTGAACGACCAGTGTCGTCTTCTGGGACTGGATAGAGCTCCTTAAATCGAAGCTATCATGTGAAGCAGTCAAAATACTAGAATCTGTTATATCAACAAGCTCTAGATACAATCACATTTGAGATGCTCTAAACTGCAAGTGATTTAACGTCCAACACACAGCAATTAAAGACCGGCATCTTCACTGCGTTTCAAGAATCTCAAGCCATCTGAAGAACTGAGTTCACATTTTTTAATAGGTAATTATGAAGTGCTTGAATAGTGGTCGTGAGTGTGTTGTGCTCACCTGTAAAAGAATACAAAATTTCGAGTACCATTCCGGATTAGCACATGCGTTAGGATTGGCGATACATAGCGCACAAGCTAACATAGTACCTTAAAAAATCCAGATCAAATTAGAAGATTTTAGTGATGAAATCTGTGAAAACTTAAGTTCATCACTTCATTAAAACTGTTGAAGAATTTTCATCACAACATACAATCGAATATATGAGAAGCAAAAAAAAATGAAGTGTGCAAACTGAGATCAGAGTGAAAGTGAGAAAATAGGAACAAAATGAAAATTGAAAAATTTCTCCGCGAATTTTTATTTTCCATTTGAAACGACTGACAAACTGACTACATTCACTTACCAACAATGCACAGAAGCACGATGTAGAGACCAAAATTGTATTGTTCCAGATCGATAATTGCGAGTATCACACAAAAACACATAATAACGAATAGTATGAGGATGGTCAAACAAGCGTAAAACATCGTTATCCACTTGAATGGCAATCAGTTTCGATAAATCTAATGGCGTAACCAGAATGATTTTTTGCAGTTTGATGGATGAGGCAATACTCAATTATGATACAAGTTCTTGACGTACCCTTCTCTCGTAAACGGTCCTCCGAATGCGAAAAAAACACTCGGGAATTCAACAGAACATTGAAATACAGTCAAATGACTCAAATTCAGCTCAAATATCAAAAACACACTCAGTTCAACGTGCCACTAATCAACGGATCACCAAATGTCAAACAACAGCGGATAATGGAGCATACAATAATGAGCGATAGTCCACTCTGACCATTATTTCATCGACTACTCGATTGGCTATCCACTTTGCAGTTTTGCAATTCTGACCTCAGCTGAAATAAAGCAATATCAAAATCACCGATAATCATATCAATAATAACAGTATAAATGACGATAATCATAAGAACAATGCTATTGTAATAATATAATGACAATAACGCTAAATCTATGAATAAAAAATATGAGAATAATGATAAATATAATGTTAATAATAATAATGAAAGAACCGACTCGTTAGATTAGAACCAATGCGTAATCCATCCTCGTTAGATTAGAACCAATCAAATTTTGAAAGAAATATCTTCAAAAACGACAGCAGACAAACGTATCGCTTGATACTGTAAAGAGATGAGACCGCGATGGAAATCAAACGAAAACACTAATGAAAATGATCCTAACAGTAATATGATCACAGTAATGATAACAATATAATGATAATAACAAGAACGCTAAGCCAGGAAAAATAATGAAGAAAAAACGAGAGAGAGAGCAATGAAAACAAAATCTCGTGTGAAAGTTGAAAAGCATCAATAATGCTAAACAAGAAAATTGAGAAGCGACTGAGTTTACGAACCAATTCTCTTGAAGTCCAGTTCAGCGCCAGTGGAAGATGAAGGCAAACAGAAAGAATCTAACTGAAAGCAATACGATTCCTCGGATAAAAGTACCGTGAATAAATGAAACAACAAAGAAATGAATTCGAAACTCGAGCACTACTATCAAATCAACGAAAATAAACAGTAAAACTGCAAATGAATTTACATAAGACACTCCATGAACCCGAGAAATTAAACACGATGAGATAATCTTCATTGCTTGACAACTGAGCAAATTGCATCTTTTCGTAAGGATGAAAAAAAAAAGTTCCTCAAAACAGAGAGATGATGTGTGCTATTTAAGAACCGAAGAATTCTTCAGCTTCAACAAAGCACCCATTCAAAATGCCATGATTGGCTGCTGTAATAGAGCTCATTCTGAACAAGAACAATGCCCTCGATAGTTTGTAAGATATCCTCACTATCAGTAAAATGTGTCTACGTGTTGTCACAAATCAAATTACTCACCATTAGCTTTGCCCTATTATCAGCAAAGAATATAATCGAATTTCTTCTTTTTTGAATTGTTTTTTCGGCTCTTCTCATTTCAGATTTTATCCAAAACATTTGAGAAAAACTTGAAAATTGTGAAAATTTCCTCCTATTTTCTCAGCAAAATAAAGCAGCAATAGAAAACGATCAACAGGGGTTGTCAAATATTGATCCCATTATATTATTATATCCACTCTCTGTTGTTTGGCTGTAATTTGCTCGGATATAGATTCGCCTGAATCTCAAGCAATTCCATTATCGCCTCCATGCACATGTGAGACCTATACATCCACCGATATTATAGCTATGGTGAAGTCGGTAAGCTGATTAGCCTTAAGGCAAACTGCTTCTCTCGATGACATCTGGTCATAACTTGAATGCATGCTTGGCTGTTCAGACTGCAACAATTTTGAAAACTCCTGCCAATGTTTGGAGTATCGATATAACATCGAGCGAGTATTCAGCTATCTGCATTCATTTCGAGTAATCTCATAAGGTATTCGTGAAATTATTCAATTGTTCTAATCAAACTGTGATAATTGAATTAACTCCGAAAAATATATGTATATATCTGATAAAGCTGTTTTCGATAAAGCATAAGACGAATGGTGATCGCATTCAACTTTGAAATTCAATTATGAAATTCTGAATTTTGAAATTTTAATCTGAAATTTGAAAGTTTGAAATTAAACCGCTAAAAATGAACGGCGCCTATCTACGGATAGAATTTCAGCTTTAACTTTCAAATGGCTGGAATGTGAGTTATCGAGAAGAGTGTTGTCAAATACGTTGAACATGCAATATGACGTAAGAAAACTTCAAAAGAGATAAAAAATGTTAAAATTTTCACAAACCAATGAGAGTTCTCATCAGAAACAATACTGATTTCAGACGTTGATGAACTTAATGAATAATTAACTGCACGGAGTTTTTAAAAGTTGAATGGAGGAATTTCCATACCAACATATATTTCTTCATGAGAGTGTATTTTGGTTTGTTACGTTACTGATGATTTTCGATACAATGAAAGTGATCGTGAGCTGTGTGCAAAAATTAATTCGATAAACTAAGTTTCATAGAGAGCAATATAAAAGCAGTTGAACGATTGACTTACATAAACGCAGAGCTGTCTTAGTAACAGTTAATAAGTTCGCTGAAAATAATAAAATTTACAGGAAGTTGCTGAATGAACTGTGCTTCCATGACTTCGAATTGCAGTTATTATCAGTTTATTTGCCACTCATTAACGCAATGATATTCTCAAATTTGAACTGCAGTGATGATATCGCATCAAGTTTCCGTGCACTTCACAATTCCATGTACGGATAACGATAAAATTTGTCGAAAGTTTAAGAAAAGTGACACGAACATGATGGATTGTGGTGCCTAACTATTCAACAGAGCAACCTTTTAGCATTAAACAGCTTTTGATGATCGCACGATGGCATCAATATTGAATAACATCCATAAGTGGAAATGCACTGATACGGTTGGGAAACCAGAATTCACTGTGGGTGATGAATTGACGATAGATATGTACGGATGTATAGGTGAACAATAAGATTAAGAAATGTTCGGAGTGTTCAAAGTAGTTAAAAATATGGATGCACGAGACTGTGCTGAAATGAAAGACTGAAACAATGAAAAGTGCTCAAGTTGAAAGCATGAGAGATGGTGCAAACTTTCTATGAAATGGCCGGCGATGGTTAGAAGAGTTAATTCAACAATAGAAGAAATTAAAGATTCATTGAACGCATTTTGAAAGGAATGAATAAACGCATTTTGAAAGGAATGAATAAGCTCTCTGAAAAGAATTCACACGCTCGAATATAACAGTCACAATTACATGCAATTCTTTCGCTCTAATTTCTCACTTTTCCAATTCCTCATCAGAAGCAAATATTAATCTATCTATAGTTGTATTTGGGACTAATCCTGTTCATTATACTTCCAAAACTTTCAGCAAATCATTATGTAACATAAATCACAGAAATCAATCAGATTGACGAAGATGCTTTGAAAACATTACAGTGGAATAACTTTTAATTTTTCAGCTGGGAGAACATACATTCCGTTACAGCTATAATCAATATATCGGGAAAAAGATCACAAACCAATTACGAATCGATCAAGCGAAAAAGTCAATCATTAATCTGTGGAAAAACATGTAATATATTCAGCATCTCGCGACACATAATGAGACTAATTACAACATTCATTAACGTACCCCCATCATTCAGCATCACTCATTTGGTGCATGCTTTTTTGGATCACTCATCTTGATACTCACTGAAAAATTCCTAGAATCCATACATAAACTAATAAGTTGAGTGAATTTGAAGATTCGAAAAGCAAAATCAAAATTGCAAATGAACTGAAATGCAGCTGAATATTCAGAACGGTGGATGAAGTGTCAACAGAGAACAGATCGATTTGATAGAAACTGAAGCAGCCACTTTGAAAATGTGCAAAGTGTGAGCGTGAAGTCATGCGTTAAGGTCAAGCCTGCATTTGAGACTGGGCGTTAATTGAAGACTTTCAGTCAAATTCTATCAAACCAATCCGAACTTTTGAGTGGTCGGTATTTCCTGGTTGAGCTGTCAGCGAAAAGCCATGAAATGTTGAAAACTGCGTCGTGCGAGTGATTCTTAATCCAGCTAATTGTTCACATGAACGAATTTATTCATAAGCATGTATGGCTGATTACGTGCGTGGGCGATTTTGAATAAACGCTTGCAAAGTGAATAAAATAGATGAGGAATTAATTCTAGAAGAACGACAAATTACATACCAATTCATAATCATCAAGACTTTTTCAGCTGCGCTCAATTATTCACCGACAGAACGAGGAAGCCGTATTATGAATAAACCAAAAATTATTGTACGTATAACACTGCATTTGCTCATAACGAAATCAATGACATTTGCAGAATTTTTTTCTTCCCAAAGAATCACTACAGTTGAACGTTTTTTTCTCATATTCAGTCCGCGTTGATATCTAGCATTTATATTATAACGAAAAAAGACCACCCCATGACGACAAAGAATAGAAGTTGTAAGTTATAAATTAGACAAATAAATTTTGAAATTTTTAACGATGAGAATTCGTTTATTCACGTAAAGGTGAATATCTGAAGATGTTTTTTTTCTCATCAACATGACGTGTTGACGTGAGGAGTGTAGATGACGGATATCTGAACAGGATTGAAATAGAGGATGGATTTAACGTAGCCTGGCAGGGATGATGAATGATATAGCGTTGACGGCAAGAGGAACGCTGAATGCGATCGATCAACAAGAAACAAACATCACACGAAAGTAGATGAAAATCAATTGAACTAATTTCTTTCCGACGATTAACACAAATTTTTCGTGAGCATCAAATGCCAACATAAAATTACGATGTTTAATAAGCACACTCATGCATCAACTAAACTATTACGAATATTACGAACACAAGACAAAAGCAGAATTTTGATTGCAAAATTTTGATTTGATACAATTTCTGATGGCTGCACTAATAATATCGTTTTTTTNTTTTTTTATGATCTAAGAAAATATGAAGAATACGCAATATTCGACCTAATC